GAGGAATCAAAGGAGGGTGCAACCCAGGGGTGCAGTAGGGCAGCTCCACACGTAATTTCTCAGTACATGAGGCACAGTGTCAATGATGTTGGTGCAGTCATCCACCTCTATGGCAGCAGCTATTTTTGGGGCCCCCACAAAGGAGGTGCCTGGGGCTGCTGCCCCAGGAGCCCCCTCAGTTATATTACTGGTGCAACATACCCCCCTGAATCCACCTCTGTTCTTTCCTATAGCTGTACCACAGGAGCTGTGGAGTTTACTAATAAACTTTTTCAGGGAGTCAACAAAAAATTGTCTCTTGGGGTAACCTGGCATGAAAGCTCCTTCCTGGAAGCATCATGGAGACACAGTTAGGTTAAGTAGGTACAAGACTTAGAAATTAATATTAGTGCGCTACAGAAATGGCTCTCCATTGCCCCTTGTGGCTATAGTGGATAAATGGCCAAAGAGACAGTTTTCAGAACAGAGACCTGCAATCTCACTGCTGGACCATATTCTTTTGGGAGAAGGGGAACCCCAAACTCTTTACAGACTAAGGACCCTTCTGTTGCTCTCTATACCAGTCACAGTGAACAGGGTTGGAAGAGTCAAAAGGCTGAAATGAAGACTCTCTTTGACCTATGTTATGAATTACATGGCAGGTCTGTACCGCTTCTACCCTTGGTCTACTGAAATGCTGGGTATATTAAGGTAATAAAGTTGTGGCCTGCCACTTAATTCCATTCTCATGCCAAATTTCACTCACCTACTTGTCTTATTACAATTCATTTCTGTATTCATCCTTATTTTCTAAGCATTAAGAGTGAACACAAAATAAAATACAATTTAAGTTACCGAGTATTATGTAGATGCGAAGATGTGGACAGGGTAGATAACAGTAGCAAAAACATGGAAGAGATATAAATTCATTCACAGAACACATTAATCCTAAACTAAACAATCTTTTTGACAAAGATCCTGCTTTTGTAATGAAACAAATAGAACTTATTTGTTCGCTTTTTTTTTCGAGGTGTGTGTGTGTGTGTTCGCTTTTGGGGGGGGGGGGGGTT